AGAATCGTTTTTCGTATACAATGGTAATATAATATAATTGGATTCAAATTTAATTACATCCATTACGGTAATCCACTTGTAACATACTGTGCAGGGTGCAGCAGAGCGATATTCACTTCTCGCTTTTTTTAAATTATCATTAACCAAATAACATTTTTTTTTTTTAAATATATATAGAAATTTGTAATAAAATATACGAAAGATACTATCACTTATCAGCTACGTTTTAATTAGTATACAAATCGAATGGCAAAAAATAAAATACATAATAATATTATCACGACAAAACGTCGTATGGGCGAGTGCACGTTCGAGTCGGCGTATACATAAGATGAATTAATTGCCGATAAATGGCAATAATATAAGATACAATATCGATAATAATCGATCACAGCTTTAAATGCAGATAYGAAACCATCACAGAATAAATATCATAACGAGCATACGAGTGACCTATATAAAAAATTAAAATTTTGGCGAAGCTCCCGATGTCCCTCAAACCCCCCTCTCGGTCAATGCAGCACCACTTAAATAATAAGTTCATAATATAATTATTATTGTAATAGACTTAGCCACTTAGGTGCTCGATGAAGCAGTTGCAGACCACGGAATGTGTGGTAAKTATCAAATAGGTATGTATTATAATTTATAATATTATATAATATATTAAATACGTAATTAACTTTAGTTATACATAAGACACATGTATATTATATTTGCACGAAACTTTAAAATAATTATTATTTGTCAATGTAGCATGAGAAGCATTTTTATTCTTGTTATAAGGTATAATAATATATATATATGTTTGATATATGATACTGCACCCGACGCACGTCAAACAACTATTTATAATAAAACAATATTTAGGGCAGAGGACTTCTATTTATGAGTTTACACGTTTCTAAAAAAACGTCAAAAACGCAGCTAAGTATAATATAGAATTATACAAAAAATTATTTCATAGCAATTCGAGTTAATATTTGAAATTTCTAGTTATTCACATTATTGGAAATTTTCCATTTATAAGTGCATATTTGACAAATTTTTTGACAAGGTATATAAAAAAAAAATACTTGATTTCAAATACATTTCCTAGACCTGAGGTATTGGGGTTTTATTAAATTTTATTAAATTTTAAAACTATCATTCGTTTTCCTCGCCATTCACTCTCGTTGTTACTTTACAATTCATGCCCCTAAAACTCGACGTAATAGAAGATAGTACCTAATTATTTCTACAAGTTTTTACTGCGAATTAAACGTAAATAATTTAATAACATCAAATATTATCCGAATATTAAAATAAAAACATTTTTTTTTTTATCCAATAGAATGTTTTTTTTTTTTTAATGCATATTTTAACAGCATATATTTTAGTGATTCTTAAGCGCATGAATGCATACGTGTTTTAAGGTTTTTAAAGGCATGAAGTCCMTAGCCATGAGATAAATATTAATAATACGCATGACTGAACAAGTTGGTGAGGACGATGACCGACAACGAAGTGCTGGTTTCTCGGATTCGTCATCTGGCCAGCATGCAAAGGGCTCGCAGCGAATCCGACAGACAAGTAAACACTATACTGTTGATGTATTATCATAACCTAATAATATTATATGTCATAATAATATTGTCTCATTACAAATATTATCATTATTATTATTATTGTCATAATTAAAATTTGGTGTACGTTCGCACTTCTCGCGGGCGCAGTTCAGGATGACGAAAATTTGATTTTGTAGCTAAATATATTAAAACAATACATATCACTGCAGTAATCCATACCCAGGGGATTAATTAAGGGATTGAGGGAATAGATCCCCGCCCCCCCACAAACAATTTTTTTTTTATTTTACTGCTATAACAATTCGGGCGGTTCCATTACCCTCCAAAAACGAGATACCGTTTTCCTCCACTGTCCGCTTTCCTACAAAGATTGGTTTCCATTTTTCTCCACATTATTTTCGTCTGAAATTATGACTATTTTCTTCCAATATTTTTGCCAGTGTTGCTGTAGTATTACGTTCCGTATTATAAGGATMACAGTTTGTGCTTAGTGGCCGATGATTACAATTCATATCGACTATCTACTATGTCAGCAATCGAAAAACGCTAATCCGATAGCTATTACAAAAATTAAAATTATCATTCATATCATATCTTATTTTTATTATCTTTAAACTGCAAATTTGTTGCTGAAATGACCTATAATCATAAAAATATATAATAATATTGTAATCAATTTATTTATTTGTTTTTTTAACGTATAAATTATATTTTATACTGACCATTTTTTTTATTTATTATTTATTGGAGGAAAATRGTCAAGAATTATTATTTTTTATTTTTTCGGATGAAAATGGCAACGGCCAACATTTTATATTTGATGAGGTAGGTTACTGTATGAGGCTTACCGATTTTTCTAAAAACATATAATTCCCC